GCCTGCCAGATTTTGGATTAGGCTCGAGAAGCAGGGAGACCCAAAGGACTGGGGAAATTAATGTGTTGCCCCAATTAGATCCCTACAGGTTTAAGGCAATCCTTACTATGCTTCAACCACAGCAAACATGCAAAAGAAACACACAGCAAGTCCACAAAGTGAATGGCACATATAATCTGTATTTTTAAGACACTGTAGTACATCTTGAAAGGGAAACAACAGCAGTGCCTTCATGGAAGAATGTGTTAAGACAGATTCCCTAAGTAGCTTGTGCACCAGACGGGTTTTATAAAAGATGTGCTGTGGCACGCCGATACCCTGCCAGTCACAGCTGCTGCCTGCTCACTGAACCAGCTCTCAGAGATGCTGCCCTCGTATACAAACCCTGATTCACAGCGCAGGCCAACCCTGCTTGATGAAGAATGCATGCCCACAAGCTTACTCACATGCACACACACAAAGTGTCTTGTCAAAATTTAATAAACAGCCAAAGTTAGGCATTTAGAAATACAAAACAATGGAATACTAAGAACTAAGCAATGCACATTACAGAAGAAAACATTTCTGAGCTTTGAGTACATCCTCCAATAACACAAATTTGAGATGACACAAATTTTAAACACAATACAAACCAAGGAATTAACAAGTTAACCAAGTTCTCCTTTACAGTGTCTGAATAGTCACACAAATTCTAACTGCAATTCTAACTTGTTGATTGCATGTACAGTACCTAACTTCAAATGCAGATCAGTGTATCCCTTCATGAGATCTCTCCACATCACCATTGCTAAGTGCATCTTTTGCATAGAAAAGAGGTTCAAAATGTACTGTACATAATCAGCCCCTTCCCCATATATACAGCATGAGCAACACCAAGCTTCTTCGCAGAGCACACTAAGGTCAAAGGTGAATGAACATTATTTCACTTGGCCTCAACCACCCCCTAGCTGTAAAGAGACACAGTCAGTTGTCTGGCACAGATGCTAGGCTGGCCTAGCCACTTCCTGATCATGTGCATTGAGACAAAACTTCATATGGCTCTTGTGAGATCCTGACTACTATGCAGCAGCCATCAGTTAGTTCTTGTCATAGGGACAGGAAGGATCTTATTTAACTGCAGAGGCTGACCTTGCCTCCAACATCTATGAGTTCTCAAGTCTCTTGGAAGCATTCCCCAAAACTCTGAATCATCCTCTGGCTGACAGCGCTCACACGTCACAGATCTTTGACAACGACCTACATCTAAACTCTCCAATTACTCCCCACATGGCAGCATTGCATAAAGTTCTTTCTGACAAGCCGAATGATGATTTGTCACAAGATGTTCCCGTTAAATTGAAGTTTTTGAAAGCAAACATTTCCTCAAAATGACATCCTCTCATCTCCAGTACTTCTCATTATATTATGTTAAGCAAATTAAGTGCATTAGCACAGATGAAATCCTTGATTTCTTCTTCATGCTGTATACCTAATCACGTCCTCTGCTCTGTTTTATCCCGATTCCCATAGGAGATTCTATGCCCCGGTTTTAATGTTTGTAAACGGAAGAAACCTGTGTTACCACAGCTTATCGCAGAGAATTATATTTTCTAGAAAATGGTTATTTTTTTGAAGTGTGAACACTTGACATGCCTTGGTGACAGCATATTGGAGCAATAGCATTGAAACAGCAGATACTAGTGAATTACAATAATAATAAAAACATAATGATGATGCTATTAACTCAAAGAGCATTACATCAGCTCTAGTCCTATTATTTAACCTACGGTAAGTGACCATCAATCACTAAAAAATCAGAATCACTAAAAAATAACTGAGAAAAACATGCAGAGAAACAGTTCACAATTAACGTCTATTTCCTAGCAAAAAACTCAGCCCTCTTACACGTACCCAAATAAATAAATGAATAAACAACAACAAATATACTTCTCTATTCAGTTCCATGGCCCTACACATTGATATACAGTATAGGAAAACTAGGTTGCTGCTGTATATGGTTTTGGTGGCAGTCTCTCCTCAGGTTCAAATTTTCCCAAATCCAGTGCCCCATGCTTATGACAGCCGACATTATGCTTTATGACATACCATCCTTTAGATAAAAAGTAAAAAAAAAATGTCATGGCTACCTGGTATCCGAGGGTGTGGACAAAAAACCTTTTGGGGAAATAAAGCACCACTATACAAATGCATGCCATTAATGGACTAGACTTACTAGTGTCAAACAGATCTTCAGTCTTTCATAGCCAACTACATAGTCCACAAAGAATGCATGGCACTTTTTTTCCACAAAAATAAGGTGTGAAGACTGGGGTCCTGGCTAAAATTCTGTTCTGGGCTTGTACTGCTGTTTTGTGTGGGCTTCCGATACATAAAGGCCACCGTGCCTTATACAGGTAGGTGCTGTACCTCAGTGATGAATGAAGTGGATCTCTGCCTGCACCATATGTGAAGCTTTCTTGCAATCTTTGGAATGACAAGTGTTATAGAGATTAAATGAGCTGATCCTATCTCTACCAGTTATGTTGAAATGCATGCCAAATCAAAATGGATTTAAAAGATAACAGGGTCTGAATTCTGTCAGCCCATACATATTTCTGCTTTTGCCTTTTAATAGCCAGGGAAAAGAGAAAGAAATACTGGCAGGTGGCATATTTTCCAGCTACAATCCAAATCCAGTCCTATTTACAACTCATGTTTCTTCTTTAATGTCTTGAAATAAGCTGTAAAGCAAACACCACAATGTTATTGTAGTTCATTTATAATTGATACCAAAGTATTGTAATATTCTGAAAAATAAAATTAAAACAATTAAGTACTGTACTTTGTAAAAAATGCATATTAAAGTTTAAAGTAGTTAAAGGAAAAGGAACATGAACTTTTAAAAGCGCAGTGTTGATCTTCTCAAAAGAGTTATAGATCAGCCTTTGCATTGTAACAATTCAGCATTAAATCAGTTTTTTCATCTGCAAAAAAAGCTGTTTGGGCAGAATGTGGCATTCTATATTCCAGGAAGAAGACCCCCTAACAGATCCAAAAACATCAAGCTGGATTAATTTAAGGCAAGATGATTTTGAAAAAAATGAATTTCAGTAATAGCTTTTTATTAAGCTTTGTACACATGATCCTGATAAATCAATTCATATAGTAATCTGCTTTACAGCCTCTGTAAGAACATAGTCAGTCCACCTGTCTTTTTAACTGCATTTCTCTTCTGGAAATTTGGTGCATTATGGATAATAAAGCTAATAATGTGAAAATTGGAATAAAACTTAAACAAGGGTGGGCTGTGCAATATACTTGAAAAAAAATCAATGTTTTGGTTAAGACATTATAATATTGTACCACTTTAATAAAGGTTGAGCTATAATTCTAACTTTGGAACTGAGTGCGGTGGTGAAAAGTACAGACTAATGCTGTATGCAGTTACGTCACCTCTTTTAGAAGTGGACATAATGCAAAAATATCAGAAGGACGTGAAGTAATCTGACAAGATATAGTTTTTTCAGTTTCCCACCAAGGCTGGGACAGGCCATGCCACTGGCAGTAGGCAAGTACAGGTGGTGTTAAGAGAGCAGATTAAAGAGGGACAAGTACACATTACTGCAGAAGCATTTCAAAGGGAAGACAGGACTTAGAAGAGAACACTATGAAAGGGGAGCAAATGGATATGCTCCAATCATATTCTAGCTACAAATGCTTTTTTTTGCATTAGAGGACAGTATTTTTACAACAGGAATGGTATACCGCATAAATTAACAGCACATATCAACAGAAATAAGGCCAAAAATTCTAGAAAATTGACATTTTAAGTAGGCTGGCAAAGTAGAATCTGAAGTCAAATAGAAAATCTGCTGTAAATTGACAAGACCCAAATTTCAGTTTATCAACCAACCTGTGATAAACCCTTCCACTGATACTAGCACATCTTTCAGCCCTACACTGCTGTATCCTTTACTACACAATTTCCTGCATTCTCTTGTAGATAGCCATACAAAACCAGCACCCTTTCAGCAGCTTCATGTGAAATAAGGATTCAGGTTACAAAATCATTTCCCATGTCAACCACTCCAGATTACATAACTTTCAGACAGGTGCTAAAAATGCTGATGTTATATTTCCACAAAGTCCTTCCATGAAGCCGATATTGTACACTGCTGCATTCAGTTCACCCCCCAGTTCAGTTTCTTATTTTGGTATGTTAATATACAAATAAAAACACAGACAAGGACAATCACCAGAATTGCTAACAGGTTAAGCCTGCTGTAATCTCATCTTGCTTTATGAGATCTTTCACTGCCACCCACTGGTAAGAAGTAAATCAGTTTTAAATTTTCCAACTGAATCAAATCAGACACTGAGTAATCAAAGAATTCAGGTTGATTTTAAAATGAAAGTTACAGAGAGTAGCTGTGGATATTGGGGGAGTCAAATTAGACTACAATCTGTTTTAAATAATCCTCAGACAGAATATAATGGCCAGTTTCTATAGACATTTTAGTATGACACCTTGTGAAACAGGCAATCATACCTTTCCTTTATAAGGCTCCCAACTTTACCTACCTTCTTTAATCAAGTTGAAGGATTTTTACAGTCCAGTTTGGATACTATAAATTTTAGCAATGCTGCTTTTTTCCATTGAAGTGTTTATTATAAAGCCCTTCAAAAACAGTACAGTTAATCAAATGAAATGTCTTGAGTTTATTTGTAATGTACTACTATGCCAGAAAATATCAGGCATGATACCAGCAACCATTTCTCTGTACACAATAAAAGGTACTAGGCGTAAAAAGGTTAGTATAACCCTTATCAAATGGAGAAATTCACCTTGGAGTCACCCTAACATGTTTGGATTAATAGCACATGATCTTGCAGACACCCCAGAAAAAAAGTAATGGCCATTCCTGAGACTTGCAGCCATGTGTAGTTTCTGAAGAGCTTTGGATGATGGCTCTCATCTTCTGGTTGTGTCAGAACAGATAAGGGACAAGCATTTAAAAAGATATGAGAAAGGTAACGTACATTTATTTGGCAAAAAATAAAAATATTTACAAAGTTTATTATACAGAACATGCATTAAAACCTGCAACTGCAGTCCACAGCATTTCCAGGTGCAAAAGCAAACAATGGAAGCAGAAGTCCAGTTTATTGCTTTTCATCTGGCGATCCAAGGCATTTCCCCATTGATCAGGCAGAGCAGTCACAACACAGCACTCTGTCATACCGGTCACTGTAACTGGGGGAAAGAACAGGGAAGCATTATGAACCGAGATATTAATTCTGCATACATGTTGGCTGAAGTAGAATTATTACACTCCATTTACATTTTCACTATAAAAAGACACTTTGCAGAAGATTAATGGAATAAGTTAAACCAACAGAAAACCAAAAAATACTTCAAGATCTACAACAAAATACCCACGTGTGGGAGAACAAAACAGGCTATAGCAAATTGGTCTTAAGTTGAAAGTGGGAAGGCTGAATTACTACTGTACATAGTAAAGATCAGTGTCTTATAAGGGGATTTTCATGATAATGTGAACAGTGAGCATGAAAAGCATCGTAATGTTTGAATCACAAAAGGGATGTCATCCATGAAAGTATCTGCTGAATTAGATTAAAACATTAAAAATTAACAAAAAGCAAGTTCTCTTTAACTAAAGCGCTTTTTCTAGCATTAGAAGTGCTTTAGGCCAAAAGAGTTTAGACACGGGAGGGGACCCACTTCATCCACCACTGATGTGCAGCAACCAGTTGGGCCAGCAACCCATTACACTGAGGATCAGGCAGAAAAGAGACTAGGAATGCCATGAGATTTTTAATGCCCCAGTATTCATGTCATCTCAACTACAGCAGTACCCCTGGTCACCTAATGATCCACCAACACTGGGGAAAATCAGAATGCTAATCACTTAAATCATCCCAAGATCTACTTTTGCAAACTATGTACTATGGGTCTAGTTATAGGAATGTTCCATTTCATCCAAGACTTAGACTTATCACACCATCATTGGTAGAAATGCTGTGCTGGGTTCAGAGCAGGCCTGATTTTCCCCCACAATTACATCATGACACACTGATGAGAAATCAAGTATTTCTGCCTTTTTCTTTATACTTGATCTAGTTCCTAAGTCACCACTCCACATACTGTATTGCATGGCGTTCAAATATCCTTCAGATATCTGGTTCTAGTTCCATTTTGTTCTCCTGACACTTAGTCATGTATTCCAACTTCCTTGCGAGTTTTTCTAAAGGCCTACTAGATCAAGAACTTGTGGCTCAGATCAGAGTAACTTCACCTGATTGACTAAATTATAAGCCAGTTTTGACACACAGACACACAGACACACAGACACACAGACACACAGACACACAGACACACAGACACACAGACACACAGACACACAGACACACAGACACAC